TCTAAGAAGTTGGTATCGAATCCTAGTCCAGACAAATAAAAATGAAAAGATAATGTTTTGTAAAGTGTACGCTTCACACGATCCTTGAAATGCCGGTACCTTAACTCGTGTTCATACAGCGTTACTCGTGACCAGGGTGGGTTGTCGTAATGGCATACACGCGCCGTGTCTATCGGCAGTACGAGGAAAGAGAGCATAGAAAACTCGCAGAACTGCATCATCCAATCAAAGGGACGAATCGACTAAGACTAGATGGTGGGAGAAACGTAGGGATTGGTAGACGACTACGATACATGTTTGTAGAAGGGGATGTGTTCGTGCTGCGTAAAGCACACGAAAGGGGAAAGGGGGGAGAAGAGAAACATGAAGCAGCGTGCCCGGATATCATGCATGGGACTAAGAGCCCGCTACGACGTCTAACCAAATTAAAAAAAAATATATATATAAATTAATATCTTGTATTATAAAAGAGATATAAAAAATACATATATTTAAATATGCAGATTCCACTAGTCTAATCATCGTCGTGCGTTAAAAATTATAACGCCAAGAATATACTATGTCTCAAGGTAATCGTCTCATATTATCAAGTGCTTTTATCAAGTTAAACGTAATATCTCATTTCATAAAATTGAATACTAGGCAAGAATACTAGACTTGAATATTAGGTACAAATATCAATGTCTGTTAATCTCTCTTATAAAATTCAATGATACTTTCATAATATTGCCTAACAATTGTAGTGAAATATTAATAGCATGAATATCAAAATCTGTCTGTGATGTATCAACATCAGACGATGAAAAAAGAAACTTGTAATTCATAAACCCATTGTTTCGAGCAGCATGGCATTATCACTGAAACTTGAAACGTTTTCTTCGAACTAGAATCTGTTAGCAACTAGTACTACTGCTATTACATTCATGTCATTGTCGGGTAGTTCACAACGAACGGCAAGTGACAGTGACGTACAAATACCAGTGGTCATGAAATGACGATTTTGTTTGTTATCCCAGAGACACGATTACCTATCAAGTTATTACTAATCACGAGGTCTCTGCAGATAACCCAACGTTCATAACCTATCGTATAGTCTCATTTCATTTCTCTCGTCTGTTCGAGTAAGCCATGAATAATCGTTATATAATTCTTCTGTAATACGTATTAATTTGATCATGTTTAACTTACTAGAAATATTTCTGCTTGTCAATAAAAGACTAAATTAAATAATCGGAAAATAAATTACAAATTATTAATGAAAAACAATTATATAATACTAATTATATAATATAATAAGCACACAATTATTACTTCTATTCATACAATAATAGTATAAAATTGAGGTTAAATCTAAGTATATTAAAAGTAATATATATATGAATGAAATAATAACTGAGATATAGAAGGCGAAATAAGGTTTTTAATTAAAAATAATAATATACATTAATTTAGTATTAAAATTGAGTATAAATGTCAAAACCGAAGCACTGTTTGAAACTCCCGCCTTTTTCCTCACTTCCATGTTCTTTACAATCTATATGCGCTTGCGTCATAAAATCTACAAGTACTGAAAGTAATATTCATTGTATTTAGTATGAAACTTCGTAATAACGGAAGTACGTCAATGTGCCAATCACAAATGAAAATAGATTGCATTTACAAAATTACTTTAAAACTAATAATTCGATAGAATTTTAGTGAAATTAAGAAACAAGCATGTACTACTGTAGGCTTTTATCTTTCAAATAAAGCGAATGTCATTATGTACAATAATATTTCAGTTTATTTAAAAGCAAGTACGATCGTGGTTTCCACGTGACATACTATTGGCGCTTCACGAAGACGCCGCCACGACTTTCTATATACAGACCGAGAGCATGGATAAGCAGCAATTTCGACCACGAATTTCACTTTATAACTTCCATAGTAACAGTCGTACAATGTATTATTGACTAAAAATAAGCGGCTCCTATCACGACACCGAATGACGGTCCGATTTAAGATGAAAAATTACAACGATGTTTTCTCGAAGGTTCGTAACACTACGCGGTATACTACGAAAGAACAGGGAGGCAGGAGAAACACGGGTATATAATACATGGCGTTGCTGCTGGTTGCGCGCGTGGGGTTTTCGATAGAAAGAGAGAACCGAATGCCGGCAAAGTTGAGGGCAGAGGGGAACAGAAACTGAAACGAGCGGGGGGAGAGAGATAGAGACAGAAGTAAAGCGAGAAAGGAAGCCTTCAACACGGTGTTTATGCACGCAGATCGGTAAACAATTTCAGAGCAACACGTCGACCTGAAAGAGATATGTGTTAGTCTATCGATCGTCCGTCAGACACGATTAACCCTCTTACAACGAATTATCGATCAATTACGACATAGAGAGTGAGAGAGAACGAGCGCGGGTGAGAAAGAGCATGAGAAGAGAGGAAGGAGGGAGAAGATGGAACGAGCGAGCGAGAGAGCACAATGAACGCGGGCTTGGTTTCGGGCGCCATAATGGAAACCCACAGCGGTAGTAGTGGTGGTGGTGGCGGCAGCAACGACGGTCGGAAAAATGCGCGGGATACTCACTTTTCCTACTTTTAACACTGATACTTTAGATAAAAAACAAATGGTGTCCATCTTGTGGAAAGAATGCCAAGTAACATAATTCATGCTTTCAACAAAATTTGTACAAAATCTTACATACTTGAAGTATGCTTCAAGAATACATAACACGAAAACGCACGAAATGAGCACATGGCGCTAGTAGCTGATATCCCGCCCGAATTTCAGGTTTACTTTAACAAAATACAAGCAAAAGAATATTGAATCTGATATTAGCTAGATCGGTAATTATAGACGGCATTGTAACAACAGGGGTGATCAACCGAACCATCATGCTCGTGGCAATCACGCGAAATACGATGGCGTCCCCTCAGCTTGAATCAAGAAAACATCGTAATTGTATAAACTTTTTTACACTTCGAAAAAAAACAAAAAAGTAAATATATTTTTTAACGTTGTGAAAATATGAAGCCTAATGAAAATGCCGGCCGGCATCCTATCCTCTACCATGCCGTCAGTCGGTTGAAACGGCCACTCAACTGCCCGCCCACCCGCCTGTCCACGAAAATACAACGATATTGCGAACAGAATCATAATTTACTATCCTGAGATATAAAAGAAATATTTTGGTTAAGTGTGTAAGCAAAAAAATACAATCAAAAAAATGTTCACAAACTTCTCTACACTTATATAAATACAATTCCGAAACAGTAGACAATGCCGTGATCAAGCAGCGTGGCGCGGAAGCATGGTGTAAGCCGGCGTGTACGTGCTTTTGTGTGTACGTGTTTGCCTACGTACAATCGCGAAAAAGATCGAGAAAGTGGTACTTCAAAAAATCAAGTGGGAAAAGCAAGACAACTCACCTCGGCTGGCCTCTTCATTCCTTTGATCTCACACTTCGCGTCCCCGGAAGCCTTGTCGTTCTCAGTCACCTTTTCGACAGCGACCTCGTTGTTTTCCTTGCTGCTCATCGTGGATACGTGCGTTGGGCAAGATGCCTGCGTGTCTGCTTACAAACGATGAAAAAGATAGAGCAATGTGTACACGTAACAAAACTCCGTGTCCTCGCGCGGCGTCGGTTTCCGGCGAAATGCCCGAGAGAGCAGCGTCGTCAGGCGAAAACCCAAGGGGCAGAGGGGAAGAAAGAGGGGAAAGGAGGGTGAGACAGAGACCAACCAGTCAGGAGTGGAGAGTGCCGTGTACTGACGACTGTGGCGCGAATAGCGCAAAGCGGACTACTACCCGGTCTCAGCTCGCTCCTAGCATATCCAACCTGGCTTTGTTCAAAAATGAAGATGGCGCGGGTTTGAAACTCGATAAATGCCTGATTGGTTGAAATTATAATATCCTTTTGTGACGAGCCACTGCACCTTTTTGGAAAGGTTATAACACTACATAATGTTTTATTATTTCTTATAAAAGTTTTCCACGTAATCCATCCACCTGACGTATAAATAAAATTAGATCCTGCGGAGGACGAGGGGTTCGAGAGTTCGTGGCCTGAGTTTGCCGTCTGGTTCGAGGCTATGTCACTCGATTCAAATAAGTTTTAGCGCTACAAAATATTTACATCACTTTAAACATTTTTTAATAAACGAATTAAAATATAAATGAAGTTGACTAATAATTAATACAAAAGGAATAATTATTTCTATATGCTTTAGAAATTATTAATTTAAAATGTATATTTCGAGCAACATATACAAGAAATCATGGCGGGAATTATTCTGAAGATAAAAGAGCCAAGCTTTTTGAATGACGCAGACGCACACCTGTCACTCAAAATTTAACGTTGAACATATTACTTTCTTCATTTGTAATATTTTCATGTATAAAAAGTATCTTTCAGTTCTGTATAATATATACGAACTATTGTTTGATAAACTAAAACTAAAAATAAATTACAATCATTATACATCAACCCAATTAATTATATAAAGAATTACTGTTCATCTTCATAATTAAAAAGTATGCAATAAAAGAAAAGTAATTATACACCAATACTACTTTTTTCTTTTATACATTAGATATTATTTTTTACTTTCAATATTCCCATAAGTGCATAGGAAAGATTTGTTTTATATCAATAAATAATAATTTGATAAAATTCATAAATTCATTATAAAAAATAACAATATAAGAAACATTATAACATAATTGCTGTTATTGATTGAACGTCTTATATATTAAACCAATTTTGATGCTGACTATTAATGGCGTATATGCAATTGAAATTTTGTATTTAAAAGGATTAAAAACAATTATATTACTTTTTATTATACTTTTACATTAAAAAGATTTTGTAATATAATACTATGTTGAATACTGCATTAATATTTATGTTTTAATAAAAAAAAGCACATTAAATTTTCGGTTTTTATACAGTGTACAATATACGCGCATGCGCAAATATATATATACATGACAATTTCCGGTAAGGGTACATTTCCTTTTCTTTCGAAACATCCAAGATGGTAGGTAAACTTGCAATTGAGAATGTATATAATCTATCCAAAATTTTATTAATAATCTTGCATCTGAGTCATTCTGAAGGTTTAATTTTGCCATATATATTATACTTCTAAACTAATAATATAGATATTTTTACTGTTTTATTTAGTAGGAGTAATAGCAACAATAGTAATAACATAACCTCTAAAAATGACAGGTTATATTGTTAATTATATGTTTACCTTAGTAAATAAACACAGAATTTATCAGTATCTGTAAGAAATAAATAGAAAAGAAAAGAATTCAAATTTAAAGAATACAAAATATCAATTACATTTATCATTTTGGTTCTGTATATACAAAAAAATGAACTGCATGGTGATACATTGTGTATATTTCTACATTTCAGGTGAATGTACCGAAGCAGAGGCGCACTTTTTGTAAAAAGTGCAAAGTGCACAAACCACACAAAGTAACACAGTATAAGAAAAGTAAAGAACGTCATGCATCACAAGGTAGAAGACGTTATGATCGTAAGCAGCAAGGTTTTGGTGGACAAAGTAAACCTATATTTAGGAAAAAGGTATGTTTTTAGAATATTTCCTAATTTAATATAAACGTTTTTCATATAATTAATAATTATTAATTATGAATGTATGTTTCATTCATATTTTTTTATTGTAGGCAAAGACAACTAAAAAGATTGTTTTAAGAATGGAATGCACAGAATGCAAATATAGAAAACAAATTCCTCTTAAAAGGTGTAAACATTTTGAATTAGGAGGTGACAAGAAAAGAAAGGTAAATATATTAAATATCACATTCTTTTTAAGATTTTTATGTATCAGCTAATTTACTTATGCCTTTCCTTTTTCAGGGACAAATGATTCAGTTCTAGGGTAAAGTTATGTATGTTAACTTTCTATGTGTATTTAATAAGAAATGAAATAAATCTTTTGAAATTTGTATAGTTGTTTATTTTATTAACTGTGTTTTATAACGTAAAAATATTTCACGTGCTTAACATATGAGTATAACTAAATATTTAATCTCCTTTATTCTCACCATTATCTGTAGATTTCAGCTTAGAAATTATTTGTTGGGAATCACTGCTAATATAAAAAAACAATAGTAATGTTAATGCCATGAGTCAAGCTACAGCATCAAAAGTGATGCATAATACTTGTCAATCAAATTTGTGAATATTTCATTGTAAAAAATTATTAACTTTTTTTCATATAGTTCTATTTTATTATCATTTGTTTTATTATATATCAAAATGTATATGTAGGTTCATTTTTACATCATAAAATCGCATTGTAAACTTGAATTTCAGTTGTTTAAATTGTAAAGTATTTTAAATAAAACTTACTCCAAGATAGATGGATCCAATCCTTCTTGACTCATTTTTAATTTGACAGCTTCTTTTGGTACACCAACATGCATCAATTTTAAATAATTTTCATAACGTGGGTCTTTGTTCACTGATTGTTTTTCAGTCTGTGTATCTTTAGGCTCATTTTGCTTTATACTGTCATGTTCATCTATTTCAGATGTAGTTTTTTCTTCCTGGTTATAGTCAGTGTTCTCTATAGTACTTTTTGCATCTTCATCTTGTTCTAAGCCAGGAACAGATGATAACTAAAGAAGTACAAATAAATTATTAAAAATTATAATCAGCTTTTTTAAATAAAATATCGGTTGTATAAATAATTATATACCCAAGATTCTAAAATTTCTAGTGAAGCTTCTATCCTTTGTAACTTGTATTCAAATTCTAGTAGTCTTTCTTCGCAGGACAAAGAAAATTTATTAAGAAATGTTACAGTATGCACAATAAAATGATTAATAAAAGAAATTGTTCTTTTCTGATTAATTGGTGGAACCTAATAATAAAAACAAGAAATAGATAAAAATAAGTAAAATTATTTGTTCACATATAAATAGGTGGAAAAAAAAAAATGTAAAAAAACCAGTGTTTGCACCTTTGTGCAATCGATAGTTGGCTCGATTATTGGAATTTTGTAATCATTCATTGTACGTTTCAAATGTTATTTCTTGTTTTTGTTGTTCAACTGTCAAACGTCGTGAACTTTCAACACATTGCTCCCACGGATCATGTAGGACTCACGAAAGATATGTGGTCTTCACTAAAAACCAAAATCATGCAGTTGTAGCCGATACACATCTTCTATTGTGAAATACTCTGCGGGTAACGTACAAACGGCGGGTTATTTGAAAATATATTACAAACTATTTGAAAATTCACTCAAGTTATAAATATTAAGTAATAACAATTTAAACAGGTCAGGATTAAAATTCACCCACAATTTTAATATATATCAGCACTTTTTATTGTGTAATTATATTTCATGCGAACAATTAATTGTTAGCAATCTCAATGTTAAATTCTGACTGATAAATATACAACAGTTAACATAATTTTGATTGCCAGCTCTACGTTAATGATATAAACGATATTACACATAAGATACCTGAAAGAAGTTATTTTTTATTAGAGATTACTTTTCAATTCATACGAATTTTAAATTATTTATTCTTTTAGGTTTTAATAGATAATATTATTTGCTGTAAGTCGATAAAGCAGAATATGCGCTGATAGTGTGAACAAGATCTTTTTTGTGGTTGTACAGGTTGGATTTGGAGATTGGATGTAACGCGGTACGAAACGCGAGTGATCTGTTGTCAGTAGGAATTAACTGTATGGACATTACCGAGAAAATAAATATTTTTTGAAGAATGGAGTCTCCGCCTGACCTGGAAACAGTTTACCAGGCTGTATATTCTTTATATAATAATTCAAATCCTTCGGGATCAGGAAAAGCATCTCAATGGTTGGACGAATTACAAAAATCAGTAAGTTATTTGTTGGAAATTTTTTTTTCAGTTGTTGTGTATTTTCAGTTATTATATGTGTTACTTTTTCTTATGTTTTTTCTGTATTAATCGTGCAATTAATGATAATATCATGACACAAATATTTAAAATACTAATTAAAAAAGTGTGGATAAATCAAACAGTTTCTAACCTTATGTTGAAAGACTTCAGTGTTATATTTTTGTTTTTGTATGTTATTATGTGTAATTGTAATATAATAAAACAGGTATAAGCAAATGATGGGGTGACATTTATTACGTTTATATAATTTTTTAGGTATTTGCATGGAAAATAGCAGATGAAATGTTGCAGCAAAAGCGAGATATTCAGTCTTGTTATTTTGCTGCACAAACAATGCGTACCAAAATACAGTTGTGTTTCCAAGAATTACCATTGGAAGCTCATACTTCTTTAAGAGATTCTTTAATGAATCACATATCACAAATCAATGAACATACTAATTCTGCAATTGTTACTCAGGTTTATATATAATACTTTTCTGCATATATTATTTGTATGTGCATTTTTATATATGTGATAATAATAAAAATTATCATTATAGTTATGTTTAGCATTAGCAGATTTTGCATTACAAATGTCAACCTGGCAAAAACCAATTGTGGATTTAATTAATAGATTCGGAGGATCTAATGCTAGTTTATGGCCATTACTTGAAATAATGACTGTATTACCTGAAGAAGTAAATTCAAAATCTCTTAGGTATATAAATAAACTAAAAATTTATATTATACAATTTAAATTATAAATTTATATTTAGATTATACTTTATTATATTTACATTATGCATTTAAATTAAAATAATAAAATATATATTAATATATTATTTTTATATATATATATGTATAATTTGTACAGATTAGGATCTAATCGCAGACAACATATATTACTTGAACTTAATGCAACTGCAGATGCAGTAACAGAATTTTTGGTAAGTACTTTGCAAATATATCTTTCTGTTGTTTGTATTAACTTTTATTATATTTTCAGAAAATGTGTCTAAAAAGTGGTGGAGAAAATGTACAAATTCGGGTTATAATTCTGAGGTGTTTTACAAGTTGGATTGCAGTACATGCTATACCTCTTGTACCTACAAGTGATGTTATTGTATATACCCTTCAGGTATGTTTTCTCAGCAATAGAAATTGATGATTTTACGTAAACTTCAAATGCAGAATCATGCATTATTGTTTAGATACTTGGCAATGATATAACTGGATCTCAATTACATGAAGCAGCTACAGATTGTATATGTGTAATTCTGCAAGTTTTGGAAGAAGATAGTAATAGCAATCGGGATAATAATAGTGAATCTAATATACAATTACAACAGTTACAACTATTCCTCTTTACTAGTGTAATGACTTTAGAACAACGATACCATTTATCTGTAGCACATGAAGATATGGACAAGTAATCTTTATTCCTTCTATGTAATTAGAGATATAATAGAACTCAAAGTTATATTAAGTATTTACTTAGTAATTTTATGAATTATTTAGATCAATAAATTACTGTCGGATTTTTACGGAGTTAGCTGAGACTTTCTTAGAAACCATGGTGAATGGATGTGTAGGAGGAAAGCAACATTATGCTATTAAAATCCTTGATCTTGTCTTAGTATGCGTTGGACATCATGATTATGAAGTAGCACAAATAACTTTTAACCTGTGGTATCGTTTATCTGAGATTCTATACCAAAAAAACAGCGATGATCTCAATGCTGTATTTAGACCTCATATTGAAAGATTAATTGGAGCATTATGCAGGCATTGTCAAATGGAACCAGATCATGTTAGTAATCATGTTTAATCTGATTTAATATTCTTTTTTTTCCTTTTCTTTTTGTAAATATATACATTTAATCTTTTTCAACAGTTGGGTCTGGTAGAAGAAGGCGCTGGCGGTAAAGAATTTGCAGATTTTAGAAATCGTGTTTCAGATCTGATAAAGGACGTTGTATTTGTAGTTGGAAGTAGTCACTGTTTTCGACAAATGTTTTCATCCTTGACAGGTGGTCCAGGACCACAAGGTCAACCTAATCATGTACCTACATGGGATTCAACAGAAGCTGTTCTGTTTGTAATGCAAGCAGTAGCAAAAAATATTTTACCGTAAGTTTGTAGCACAAATACTGGTGTAGAATATTTTTAATATAATTCAGTATATATGATAATATTTGTTTATAGAGGAGAAAATGACATAGTGCCAAAAGTAGTAGAGGCTATTTTAAATTTACCAGAAAATACTCATATAGCTGTTCGTCACACAAGTATTCTTTTGTTAGGAGAGTTTTGTGACTGGATATATCTTCATCCACAGTCTTTAGGTAATATTTGAAAGTAGTTATAATTATATGTTTTAATATATTGATTTGATAACTTAAAACTAATGTTGTAGATCCCATTCTTAATTTTCTATTGTCCTGCTTAAATCAAAAGGGCTTGGGAAGTGCAGCTTGTTGTGCATTAGTGTGTATATGTAGTACATGCCCAGGACAAATGTTATCACATTTTTCAGGATTATTGCAAATAGTATCTTCTCTTCACACCTTTGTTATCAATAATGATGCTGCTATTGGTTTACTTAAGGGTAAGATAGTTGTGTCTATTTATATAATAAAATTTTCTTCAAATTGTTATGATATTTATTATTCTAAAACAGGAGTGTCAATAATCATGTCAGGTTTAACAGTTGAAAAATTTACACCGGCTATGAAAGAATTATGTTGGTTTCAAGCTAGACCATTATGTGAAATTATGGAACGTAGAATTCCAATTGAAGTAGGAACAAATACTGACCCTGCAGTATGGCTAGACAGATTAGCCACTATATTTAAGCATACTTGTCCCTTGTATAATATTTACTTTGAGCCTCATCCTGGTCAAAACGCTATTACCGAAGTATGTTTAATAATAGCTTGCAGAATAATTCAAATATTATTACAATAAGTAACTCATACCTTTACTGTAATATTATCACATATAGATGTGGCCCATATTATCAAATGTATTTACAACATATCAACAAGACGCAAAATTAATGGAAAGGTGTGGCCGTTGTTTAAGATTTGCCGTTCGTTGCGTAGGTAAAGATTCCGCCCATCTTCTTGAGCCGATTGCAAAACAGGTAATGATTGCACATAAACTCTAAATTATAGAATTTTATTAATTATTTTGTAATTTTCTAGATTGTGCAATTATATTCAGCTCATCAACATAGTTGTTTTTTATATGTTGGTTCAGTATTAGTTGACGAATATGCTAGACTTTCGGAATGTGTCCCTGTATTGTTAGAAATGTTGGAAGCATTTATTGGACCTACTTTTAATATTCTTCAAGAACAAGATGGGTTAAAGAATCATCCTGATACAGTAGATGACCTTTTTAGATTATGTACTAGGTATGTACGCTTTGTTATTAATATAATAAAATACCTACTTTTTAAATGTAAAAATATTTTTATTTTTAATTATAGGTTTCTTCAAAGAGTTCCAATACAGTTTCTATGTTCTGTTGTAATAGAGAGTGTAATTGACTGTGCCTTAGTGGCCTGTAATTTAGACCATAGAGACGCAAATGTATCAGTTATGAAATTCTTTTATAACCTTTTACACTGTGGTCGCAATCATGAGGTAACTTGAAAGCCTGCTATAATAAGTTATCAAAGCTTAATAGTAACATACCTGCAATAATATCTTTACCTTTTCCTAAGACTCGAACGGATTATACAATACGACAAGGATTAGTAGACCGTATATTAAAAGAAAAAGGACAAACATTAGTCATAAGGTTACTTCATGCATCCGTATTTTCATTATCGTCTTACGTGTTGTCCGACGTAGCAGATGTTTTTGTTGAACTTTCTCTAACCGATAGACAAGTAAGATTCGAGAATTTTCCGTCTAGTAGACACCGCACTATGTTCTTCGACAATTAAAATATTATTTGTTGTTTAGCTACTATCCAAGTGGTTAGAAGAAGCTATTAAGACTATGCCATCTCAAAATGCAGGTGGTTCTCCTACAGCACAACCTGAACAACTGTTTGAATTTCATAATACAGTTACAAGGTATATCAAATAGTTTTTAAAATATTATTCTTTTAAAATATCAGGAATTTTACCTAGAAATTTTTTAATTTGCAGCGCGGAATCAGCAAAATCCGTAAATCATGCCTTACGCAATTTTGCACGTTTGTATCGCTGATGCATTTTAATGTAAAAATTAAGATTAAGAATGTTAAAATTGTAAACAGCAAAGATCTTCCAGGATCCTTCATATATTCACTGTATTTGAAGGTATTAAAACAAAAAAGGTCATTATTATGAAATGGTAAGTCTATGCTGTATAAATGTATTAGCGAAAGTTTTAAATATTTGTATTTGTTTACTATCTACACATTCCTTCACAAAGTATGTAAAAAGGACAAACATAAGCCAACTCTCTTATAACATGTATTCCTTAATTTTACATATAAATATCATATTTAATAACTTTTTTTAACATATACATTTTTGCCATATAAAAATACTAAACATAGAACTTTACACACTGCTCATCTTTTAATTATTTATGTTATTATTAGTATAGTTCTATTGCATTTGTTTCATGTAATCTTTGAATATATGATAGCTATGAGAAAGAATATTCAGATTACCTATTGTATTAGGTATGTATCTAGTCAACTATTTGAAATAACATTATGCATACTTTGTAAATAAAGTGCAGGTAGTAAACATTAAAAAATCAGAGTGATTATATATTTTTGTGCTTTCCATCTTATTAACACGACAACCTCACAATGGAATACTATAAAGTGCGTAAGAAGAAATATGAAATGTGTGGTCATTTTTGTCACTCATTGAAATGTATTACGTTGTACAATATTATTTGATAGCTTTGTTTTTAATGCTACAACTATCCTATTATAATGTGTCATTTTCAATTGTGAATTTTTTTATTTTTATTTTGTATGATTATAATCATATGGAGAGCGAATAATAGACTTTAGAAACGAACTTCAATAAATATCTAAATTAACTATAAATCAATTTAAAAACGGATAAATGACACTCGCAAAATAAATTATTTGTTCGATATTATAAAATTTGAAACAACGGTTTTCACGTGATAAAATGTAGATCTTATTTACACTTCTGTATTTGTTTAAAATATTTTGCAAAATATAATTTTATATACATGTAGGTCATATTTAATGAAATATGTTATGTGATAATAATATTGAGAGATAAAATTTGTCTCACATTCTCATTGTATGAACAGACATTTGAAAGTAAAGTCTTCAATAATTCTAAATCATATTAATGTTTCCATCAGTTTGTGTCTTGGAATAAAATTCTAATCATCTGTTCTGAATCAAAGCATCATATAGAGGCACAAGGATACAAATTCACTCATACAATGAAGACATAAATAGAAACTATATACTCATTTCACACAATGGTTAACTTGTACAAATAATTTACATAATTAACTTCTTATAAATTGTTAATGTACAGTTAAAATATTAATGAAAATAAGCATTGATATTGGTAAGAAAATTAATTATAATGTAAGATAAAAATAATTAAATTGTAAGAATATTTTAATGACCAGCATTATTTTTAGCGTTTACACCATTTCACTCTATGATAATGAATTTTCAATATATATTAAACAAAATATATTTTACTTTAAAATATAAATACATGGTCGTAATTAAAACGGCAATAAAGATGTAATAAAATAGATATCGGAAAAAGATATTCATAAAATAACAATGCTTTTCAAACAAAAGAATGTAGCGGTACGGAGTATAACAGCATTCCATAAATGCACTGATGCTTGGTCATTTCGGTCAATGACTGTTAACATTATTCAAATAATTGTTATAACCTCTGGTAAATAATTATGGCGCATTAGTTACATATGTGTATATAATTCTCAGAAAAGTATTATAATTAAATGTTGCTGAATGTCAAAGAATCGAGCAACTTGATTGTTTATTACAAATTAAATTTTTTATTAAATATGTAAGTTGATAAGTGATTTAGTAAATTTCACGACCTAAGATGACAATACATTTATCGAGTGTGCATCTGGTACCAGAAACAGGTATTCGATGGTTCTAGCGACACTATGTATGATTCAGGTTCGGGATGCCACGTCTTCTCGAAACATTGCTAGCAATCTCAGGGTCTGAGTCACTGAACAGTTGCGTTATGAGTCACACACAGTCGAACCTTATTGGCTGAGGAATTGGTTTCTAACAAAGGAATGTTGTTGCAATATAGCCAAATAAGTCAGTTAGCCAATAGGATTTTGTCACCTACATTACGATTTTCATTCTCATTCTCGATCAATTTTAATACTAACGATCAGAAATAATTTTATAAACTAATGTAAAAAAGGGAAATACAGTACAATTTATTTTAAGAGCAATAAACGCTACTACAATGTTGATTGCCTAAATCTCATAAATATAAAAAACTATGTAATTTTCAAGAAGACGTTAAGTAAGAGTTCGTAGTATCATACACATTCAGATATAATAATCCGGCAAGTTTAGCTGTATTACGTCGCAGAAATGTCATTTACAGTATGTCGTTTCATTATAAGTGTCGACGTACAACGGTCACTAGCACCCACATGTACCATTTATCAATAGAAGGGCTTTAACTTGCCTAACCATTGACTGATGAATACCTCACATGCATATACCGAGGCGTATTGTTAACCAATATCGTGTTCTATGTTACCGAGCTACTATTCACGACTTTCCCCGATACGAATACATTGTGACCACTTTACTCAACGTTGATTCGAGTAAAACAATTTCTCTCACCAGCTAGAAGAAAAAAAAAAGAAAGAATGCGAAAGCTACGAATCCAGGCGATTATACCGACGAATGAAGACTGGTTCGACACCTTCGTAACTGTACATGTTCCTCACCATGTATTTCCAAGAACTTTTTTGTACGTATCATTTCCTTTTTATCTGAAAAGTAAATTTATGAAAACCCTCGTTACTAGGTTTAAATATACCTCCACTGATATTTATTTGTATCACTTAATTTTTTAACGATTTTCCGAATCGTTTCGTTTATTAAATAATAATAACGAAACTGCAAGACAGGCAGTCTCGAAAGTTCGAGCGAACCTATCGATATACTTACTTTCGATCGATATCAAATCATCGAAATCGGGTAACATTGATTCGTCGATGAGAATGTGGCGAAACTTCGAGTTAATCATGTAAATCTAATTCGATTTTAATTTCATTAGTTTTATTTTAACTCCAATTATTATTTAAAATTTTAATACTCTAATCGTGTTTCGATATATTATCATTTTTGTAGATATTTATTACTACTAATGTATATGGCTAAAACAAAATAATATAAACGAAGTCAGGTTATAGATTACCGTTAAGAAAAAGATTACGAATGCATTCGCCATTCGTTGCAAACAACCTACATTCAATCCATTGCGCCGATAATGATGTTACCCAATTTTTCTTCTACTGTACTAACATTTGCTCGTGTAGGATGCAGCACGGAACTATCGCTGAATTCACCCTCTCTCATCGACGGCGACGGGTAGCGGCGCGTTGCTGGGCAACCAGACAGTCAGACTGCTGTCTGCTGATCTGCCAGGGGCGCGGAAGGCCGCGATGAGACGAGAAGAGTAGACGTGAGCGTAGAGGAGAGAAGAATCGAAGAGAGACAGTATGAGAGGAACGAAAGGGTGGGGGATACCGGGTGAAAAACAGGTGTAGAGGGAGTAAGGTCGTTGCTGGAGGGGTAACGCGACCATTTGACCGTAGGACGAGAAGAACGAAAGCTCTACCACAGAAGATGGAAAGAGAAAAGGGTAAACGTGTATGTAGTGGAATAGAGTAGAGAGTAGAGAGTGGAGAGAAGTTGCGAACGGTGGTGCGTAGTGGTGGTATTCGACGTCGCAATAGTGGGGGATCAGTGGCACGATGGTGCATCAGAGGGATCGGGGCAAAACTGGTGGGAAACGGTGCGGCGTCAGGGGCGGCCGGGCTAGACGAGTCGAGGTCAGTTATCCGCCACGCCCGACGCCGACGCCGTCGTTCCGGCGTACCGCATTGCATTTTCGGCGCCACTGCTGCCGCTGCGTATCACTGCATTGCCAATGGTCTTTTTTTCTTCCTTCCTCCCGCTCCTTTCCCTTTCTCCTTCTTTCCTTTCTAACTTTTTATCATTCTTTTCTTATCGTTCTTTCTTCTTCCACTTTCCTTTCTCCGTTGTTCCAAGAACGTGCTGCCGTTACTAGAACTTCTCTTTTCCACCTTCCCACTCTCTTTGTATCTTGCTGCAGTAGGCAGCGATAGACTGCCTACTTGTCTACGCTGACGTCTAAACTACGGACTGCAATGCGCTTGCGCAATTCGCATGGTCGTTTCGCAGCGGAATCAACCGGAAAGAGTTTAACGTACCGAATTTGTGAGTCTCCGCAGCGAGAATTTTTATTTCCGTGAAATCTCGTCGTTTGAGTTGTATATCGTATTGTCCTTGAACGTAAACTATGAATACTGTAAGTCACGACGAGAGAGGATAAAAGAATGGATCGCCAAGGCAGCCATTTTGCACTGTTCACGCGCATGCGAATATTTTTCAGTTCTACGTTGTGTAGAGCACACGCAACGTACTTCGCTCATAAAATATGTGTTTGGTGATCTTGTTATAGGAAATATATACATCTTTACGCGTAGAAAATGATAATTTAGGATAGATTTGCGCGTTCGGTAAGGTTAAATACGGCTATGCGATATCGTGACAAGAAACGTAAACGATCGTTAGGTTATTCACGAAACGGTTAAGCTGTCTCGTGGTTGTCTGGCCGGCTAGGCAGACTTTGTCAGTCCAGCAATAGATAGAGCATCGTGGGCTTAAAACAAGTTAATAAGATAAGAACGTCGCATTCTATCGTCTCTGGGTGTATACCTATGTTGTAGCATTTCTTTGCAACGAAGGGAAAAAAATAGAAGCCATTCAGTTGCCCTTCCGACGAGTATTCGTAAAAAATTAATTCTTTTATGTTCGTGAAACATACGTATTTTTTTTTTTTTGGTTTGTTTTATAATTACCCTTAAATTAATCAATTTACAGACAATAACGAAACAGATCCTCATAGGTGGAAATACACACGGTGATTGGTGGAAAATTTTATTCACGAGGAAGATTATTGACGAGGTATAATAAAAGCTATCGATTTTTTTTTAAATACACGAGGTTATGTTTTGACTGAGAAACAATGCGTGCCTC